ATTTGTAATTTTAAGAACTTCAAACTCAGAGAAACTGGAGTTATTAGCAAATATGGTGGGTTTGCAATTAAATCAATTACCAAACATATTTACCTTAATTTCCTTTCTAGAAATCTTACCAAATTGCATTTGTTTGGTTTTGGGGTAGAAAGTAGTTCTTGTGCATTTCTATGGTTTAGCCCTATAGAAGAAGCAAAAGCAACTATAATCCAAGCAGCAACAAACAAAAGCAGTACTGGGAAATTTTCTCTCATTTCTGTGCTAAGGACTACATCTACCTATTTATTCAGTTTTCACTACTTCCATTCATACTGATATATTGAAAGACTTAAAGATGTGGAGTTTGTCAGATTTGATACAAAACACTTTTACCTGAACTCTGAGGCTGGCAACTACTGTCAGGTAGGGAAGAGCATAAACCCTGTGATGAGTTACTTTTATAAGTCTGACTTTATTTAGATTAAATTGTCTAAAAAATCAGGAAAAGGTTACATTTCTCAAATTCAGATGTATATACTGATTTTGTCATCATCATGTATTCCCACAACTACATAATAACACCAATAAAATTGGAATGTAAATAAAGCAACATTGCAAAAATACAATACAGTGTCCTGAGTTTACTATGGGCTTACGTAACCCATCTTTGTCTCCTAACACAGACGAAAATTAGATGACCTGGAAAGAGGAAAGCATTTAAAGGCAAGTTCTTAGGAAACAATTTCCCTAATATGAACTGCAATGCATATCATTTACCCTTTTTTTTTTGACTAGATCACAGCTATGAGCACAACTAAGTACTTCACTTTGTTCCTTTGATTTTAGCAATTAAAAAAAAAAATTAATTTTATCTGCTTTGGTTTTCTGCTATGCCCACAATATTTTTCAATCACAGCTGCTTAAAGGAATAACACTAATGAGTGAATTAGACGTCATCCTTACCTAACAAGTTGTAGTGCATTTAGGATTCACACCACTAGAAAGAACACAGGGTGGAGCCCCTTGTCCTGCTCACTTGTTCTCAAATGTGTGAAGACCCCACCTGCCAATGAGCCTTGCTGGCACCAAGTAAGACTTAAATACTAAATTCTCCTAGTGCAAGCAATCACAAGTGACAACAAACAGACCCAACTGCCTCTGCAGAGAACAGCGTTATACCCAATTGTATGGAGCTCTCAGTTCTGCACCTCACTGCATATTAAAATCCATTCAGCCACGCTGCTAATTGAAAATGCATTGCCAAAACCTTCTTGGATTATTTACCACAAGGTCTACTTCATTCTGGTGATCACAATTTTTCTTAGGCTTTGGTTTCTTAAGGATTCCTCTGTGAGGTGGGACGGGATTTTCTTATACTCCATGACATCTCTATAAGTAAGACTATGGATCATCTTTAAAGTCCTAGTGCATCATTATTGGGACAGACTGAGTTTTAGACAGAAACAGATACTCTGTGATTAGATACTAAATCTATGGATAAGATTATTAATAGATATTGAAGTATTGAGTCATGATACACACAAAAAAATAGAGGGTAACACACAAGAGATGCTGCACATGTGGACGCTGGCAGTTTCTAGAACAGAAAGTGACCTTTAGCAATCTGCAAGGATTGAAATAAAAACTCCTTCCCAGCTGAAATCAAAATTTCAGCTGAGGTCAGCAGGGTAGGATTTCAGATTTTCAGCTGTATTAACACCAGGACCAAATAAGAAAGAAAAATAAGTTGAGTCACAAAAAGAAGGAAAGCTGCTTCTCACCCTGTTCTCCTTTCTCACCAAATCTGGGAAAAATCTTTCCTTGAAATGCATGGACCAGCAAACGACAGTGATACAGGGAAGTCTGGAGGGGTTTTTTTTAAGCAGACCAGTTTGAAGCATTGCAGGTGTCCTGGTGGAACTCAGTGCAGCAGCAGATAGTATAGAGCAGGTTGTTCTAATGCTATCTTTTTTCCTTCCCATTTAAATCTTGAACTTCAGTGTTTATATAATGTAGATAAAATCATTCTGATTTTGTGTAACTTTTTATATAAATCAGATGTTGGGAAGAACATAAAAATAAATACCAAAACTCCAAAATTAACCATATTGAAATAAATTAGACTCTTTCCATAGACTTCAATGGAAATGGGTAAATGAACAGCAGAAGAACATGAATAATTTAAACCAGGACTGCTGGCAAAGACTATGTATCCTCAGCATTGAGCCTGAGTGAGTCAAGGCCTCTGTCTAGAAAAACAAGCTCCAGAGCAGTTGATGTTAATCCTGGTTATTTGTTAAATGGCGAGCCTGGAAACAACCAAGAACTAGTCACGATCCCTGCACTGTCAAGAGGGGCCAGGAGAAAAGACAGGCTACACCCTACACAGACAGTGTAGAGGTACAGAGGTAGGAGATATGGCAGTAGGAGGCACTCCATCAGCATCTCCCCTCTGGTGCCACTTGTGAAAACAAGCAAAGTTAGGGGAAACTCTAGCAACACAGCCCCTGCAGAAGCACTTGGCCTCTTGTACCTGCTGGAAAGCAGAGCTGGCAATACAGGAACACATTTCCATCTTCCTTCTGGATGCCCAAATTCTGATGTGTAAAGCACAGAACCATGCAATACAAAATAGCAAATCATTCTATGCACACAGTGTTTTAACACTTTTATTTTACCTTTCCAGAACACACAGGTGGTAAGAAGCCCTACAAACTCTGGTTATCTGTATTTCAGCCTCCATGGTTGACAATAAGCAGAGGAGAAAAGAACAGGGCCTGTTTAAACCTATACACTCTGCCCTTTGTTTGAGGAAATGGCTGCTACCAAACACCTATATAAGATGTTTTTTGGACTAGGAGCTAGGTCAGATTTTAAAAAGGGAGTCGGCTAGGAGAAAAATCGTTAAAAAAAAAAAATCAGTATCAGTTTTGCATTTTTTCTCCAGAAATAGTTTATCTTTACAGGAGAGAAAAGAATAATCATAACCTGTTGACTAAAGAGGTGGTTATAACTTTTGAATAAATGAAACAGAAAGGTTAAGTAGGAAATAAATGTTAAATAAAATTCTCCGAGGAAAACTCCAGTAAGCATTACAAAAAGATATTTTATACCTGTACACCTCTCCGTCTTGAAAAACGATGTTCAAAAAGCAATTCTGGCTTATCTTTGATGGTCATAACTTGATATTAACAAAGCACTAATTAGAAAGTAATTAGGCAATACAAACTGTTTTCATCATCATTTCTTTATTGCTTAAAGCTAGCAAGCATGGTTTTCCCTTTGCATGAATCTGATTTACTGTAGCACATTCAGCTCTATCATTGCTCTTTCACTCCTTGGCTGTTTTCCCTATAAATATATATGCAGAAAAACAGTTTACTGTGAAATATTTCATATTAGCATTAGACAGGTAACACCAGATAAGGGGAAAAAAAAATAATCCAAAACTGATACTTGAATTTGAAGATACTTTATCTAAGATACTATTATTCATAAAATGTATGACACTAACATTTTCTCTGTCAGTTTCACCCTGAGGGACTTCCCACTCAGTAACGAACAAAAAGTACTTCTAACATTTGAAAAAACAGGAAATCATTACAAAATCAAACCAGTTGCCAGGGAAGCCTGACTACTCCAGTTTCTGAAACTAATTTAGATCTTATTATTTAGATCTCATGGATTCTCTTCAGATCACAAAACATGCAATTTTTTATTTGAGAAACTCCTTTAACTCCAACTATAACTGACAGTGATATCCACACAAACCAAGTGATTACACAGTCAGTCTAAAGCTGTAACTCCTGGTACGAATCACGTACAAGTCTACTTTTTCAAACGGAGAATGGAGAAGAGAAGGGGCATATGACCAAGGCAAAACATAGGCAAGGAACGTGATGGGAAGGGAAGGGACAAAGGAAGTACTAACAAAAGACATGTACCAATTCTACCTCCAGTTGGTATGAAGACATATTCAAGATCTTGAAGAGGGCCACTATGAGTTTGCAGTGTGCTAAGCTGACTAACTATAGGAAACTATTCATTTTTTTAATCGATAAATTTTCTGCCAGTTTAATCAGATACCAGCCACAGCTAGCACAAGGGAAGAGGCCAGAGGAGACAACTTCTTTCAGCATTGAGTTAGATTAGCTCATTTGCCTTGTAAAAAACAGATATGTTATTACTTATCTGCCTTGTTGAGAAAATGCTCACACAAATACCACCAGTAGAGGTAATGAGACTTGGCAGTATTTAAGGAAACAGCAGCTCTATCTTCTGGTTGTTGATGTATTAGTCTGGATCAAAAACGTACACTATTTTAGGTGAACAGAGAGGTTGCTTATACATGCTCTCAAGAAGCACTGCTCTAAACTTGAAAAGAGTATTTTCTCTGTATTAAAATGCCATAATTACCAGCTTTCCCAAAACAAAAAGAAAACATGCTAGCATACCTGAAGGGACATACCTTTCTCTCTATTTCCCCTCCCCAAAAGCAAAGAGGCAAGCTGTTCAGCACGCTCTGAACAAATGATATGGGTTATTTCAGATTAAAAAGGAATGAACCTCTAGAACCTTTCAAAAACCAATAATAAAACCAGAAAAACATCAAAAAAACCCACCACCTTCTCAGCAGCTATCTCCCTAGTTACACCAAAAAGCCTATTAACATGGAAATTCTTATAATGTTTGAAATCCACACAATCATACACATAATTCATCTAGGAAGAAAAGCCAATCTGTATGGGGAATACCCCTTGTTTAAGGGCATCTAGGTTCTGTAAGTTTTAAAGATAATTAGGAAAATAAATAAATGTGAAAAAACTCTCTTCATATCAGTAGTATCTCACATTATTTGGATGATTGCTTCTGTTTCTTGTTATTCTTTTGCTTTTGCTAGTAGATTTTGTGTCTGGCCACTCAGAAAAAGCCCCTTCCCCATTTAAGAGTCCAGAAATGGAAGCTTAATGGGAAAGAACATTCTGTTTTCACCTTTCCAATTAGAATGTCAACCCACATTCTTGAGTTTCTACATAATAAAGACTTTTATTTATATAAAAGCAATGAGATGCAAAACAATTTCACAACTCCTACAAAAATGAAGTATAAGCAAAAATATCAATTATGACTTGTACTCATAACTTTACAAAAGCATTTATCAGTTACACTGACTGCATAACTGCAGTTACAACAATCTCTTGCAAATATACGAAGCCTACTACATATTGTCATATTTTACTTTGCCATCAGCATAAATCTGTGTGACTCATTACCTTTTTCTAAGTATCTTCTAAAGCAACACCAGAATACAGATACCAATAGAAAAGACAGATGTGTTAAAAATATTATCAATATATTTCAAAGTTATTAGAAAGGCACATTATTTACTGTGTTATTCCTTGGCTCCTACTGCTGTAACTATATTGCTGCTTATAAACTTAAAAGTTTTTAAGCCTTAATTCAAACAGTTGATTTACTGTATTGGATAGTACTGTATTGGCTGCATTTGCAGAATCCAAACTACTGAGCCATCTGCACCACAACTGCTTTCCAGGCTTTGTCTTTGTCAAAATCCTTTAAGGTATTATTGGAAACCTACAAGCAAACAAATTTCAGATAAATGGAAACATGAAACAATGCTTTGGCTAAAAACTGAAGTTCAAGCAAATAAATATCTGAGAGAAACTAGGAGAATGTAAACACAAATAGTTACAGTCTGAGTTATTAAAATATTCTACACATTGTAAATTGTATAGTTTTGTATATTGTATAGTATACATTTATGATATAAAATTGAGTGTAAATTGTATAACACTTGAGACATTAGGCCAAAGAAACTTGGCCAAGTTCCTATTTTAAACAAGTTAGTACATTTTTTCAAGATTTTTGCAAAAATGTGACTGAAAGCTCTAGCATCTAAATCTCTGAACCCAAAGGCAGAAGTAGCCCCCTACAGTGCAACTGATGCAAGATTTATCTACACACATGCAAGCAAACTAAGGTCTTGCCTAAGAACACAGACTTCTGAGAAGCCAAAGGGACCTACAACTTCACCTGTAACATCGGTCATGTGTTTAAATACTAGAAGGGAAGTAAAAAGGTGTTGCTTTTCCAGACAAAGCGCTCCTTTTAGCATTTAACTTGCACCCAGTTTCTCAGTGACTCACAAACTAGGCATACTTATGTAAATAATTCCTGGAAAAGATCTGTTTAGCCATGCCATGACCTATGCTCCAATTCTGATCTTTATCACCAGTGTAGTTAGGACATGGAGAGACCTGGAATTCCAGGCACCTTCCTCTGCACACTACTTATATTGTCTAGTACAAGTAGCCACCCACTTAGCTTGGCCATTGTTGTTCCTACGCTTCAGGTTCTTCACTCTTCCCATTCCTGGTTTAGGAATTCCCCAGGAATGCATGGGAGGGTGCTTGGAATTCCAGGTCTCTCCATGTCCTAACTACTGTCCTAACCGACTGAGCTAGCGGGGCTTAAAGAACTCAGCTTAATAAATTCAACCCCCACACCAGGCCTTGGAAAGGTACATCAAGTATGTTCATTCCACAGCCCAAAACTTCTGTTCACACTGAAAGGGTTAAATCCATTCCTTTCTTAAAGATGGCTATCTCATTATCAGAACACGATCATGCAAGGCCCACATCTTTTCTGTAACATCATTCTGACATATAAATAGCAATTATGGATCTGTATCCTGTGGAGTAGGACACTCATTCTATCTTAGTACAGTGAGCAAGCTTACAGCTTTTTCTCTCTTATCAGGACTTGTCACAGGTTTACAGATACTGAGCCTGTCATGCCACAGTTACCATTTAACTATCAAAATATTATGTCTTTATTACAAAATTCACCAGTGCATTAATATCTTTATAGCTTTACAGAGCAGCTTTTAATTGTAATCTGTATTAAGTAACATAAAACATTACAAAAAAATATCCTTTTCAATACAGATTTTAAAATTTTATGATGGGTATAAATACATACCTCTGTTGTTCTGTACTCCTGTTTTTTAACCTGTGATGCTGTCCATGACGAATCCTGTAGTTTCATTTTTGCCTTGTAATTTACACACTGTATTACAGTTCCAATAGTAAGGCATGCCTGAATTAGTAGCATCAACATCAGAAGCAACAGGAGTACATCGTAAGATTGCTGAAAATAGAGACATAAAATATGTTGTTAACTACCTGAATAAAATATTTTCTGCCACTCTCAGTCCTTGAGATTTGTATCAAGATTTCACTTTTTAACTCAAATTATAATTTACAGTTTATTTCAGCATGAAGCTTTAATTAAAATTTGAGCACCTGAGTTTGCTCAAAGTACACCAGATCAATAATTTTTTTAACAAAACATTGATTTGCCAAATGATCTTTTCCTCTAGAAACAGAACAGAATTGAGGAAACTACTCTCTAAAATATAGAGCCTCCCTGCTGGTTCTGACCTGAGCAATGCTGCAGCTATGCCTGGCTCTGACCTTGCCCTGCTGGCTTGAGTTCCTGGCTGACCTTGGATCTGCTTCACCACTATGGACTTGTCTGGCAATCACTGAACTATTGGCTGAACCTGGTTACCACAGCCAGACCTGCTTTGTTCTTCTTTGTTTGGGTACTGCAGGACAGCATCCCTTGCCAATGAGGTCACTGTCCTTGCCTGCCTTGCTGTCACTTTCCTCTCCATTGTTCACCCTCCTTTGCAGAGCAGCCCACTCTTGCTGCATCCAGACACAGAGTAGCACAAGAACGCAACAAATGCTCTGCAGGGTCACACCAACTGTCCAGACAGCCCAGTCTTCTGTCTCCAACATGTGTGACAGGAGAAGCTCCTTAAAGAGAGTGTGTAAGCTGTGGCCACTTCCCGAGGTCCAACAACACACTATACTCCTCCAATATCAGAACAGGATCACATACTCAAAAAAAGCTGGTTTTCCAGTATGTAAGATCTCAGTTTAATAAATATTTTCCCTCTCCTTCTAAAATTACAAGACTGCTTAAGGACTAATGGGCACTAAGAGTCAAGACTTACTGACACTATTTTAATACCCATGAACAGTTCTTTTAACATCGTCATGGATTGCTAAACAATCTGACAGTAAAGCCCTAGGAAACTCCTCAGCAATGCACTGGTAACAGTTCATACTGAAATGCTCTAAGATTTGCAAACTTTTTTTTCTTCTCTGCCCCAATCCAGGCTTTGAATGAATCCAGGTGTAAGCTTACAATCCCAACATGCCACCTGTTGGTAGACATCCTAAGAAACAGAAAAAATACATTCCTCAAGTAAACCTAGAATCTTTTATTTATATACTACAAATTTATAAAAATCTCAAGGAGTCCAGCATATTACATACTATTTTTACTGATTCTTTAGAATAACGTGCCATAATTCCAGGACAGCAACAGATTCAACATACTTAAAATTATATCATTACTCAAATAAGAGTAATTTCTATATCATTTTATCCAATCTGTATAATGCAGTACCTTGTCTTCTTATACTTCCTAATTCATTCTTGTGTTGCTACTGTAATATGTAGATGTTAATTTTTCAATTGCATACAAATACATACTTTAACAGCAGGTGGATAACTTTTAAAGATGTCAACAACTTGCATGATACTGAAGGATAAGTATGCAGAAGCTGTGAACAACAAAGGAGAGGTAACACTGCTAATGGCAATCAGGACCTCAACCTAAAAAATAATAAATGTTAAATAAGAATAAAAACAAGTTAACATTTTGGTTTGTGAGCTATATCTCCTTAAAGCAAGTATAACAAAAGTGTGTACGATTACACATATGAGACAAATAAAGAGCCATCCACACTGCAGAGATACAGAAGCAAGCTCTGAATAAATTAATTTTCCTAGCCAAAACACTGCTGCTTTGTAATTTGTTTCCCATTTAACATGGATGATGGGGTTTTTGTTTGATTTCAAAAGTGCCCTTCATATGTAGATAGAGGAAGCAATACCCAATTTAGAAAGCTAGTATAGAAGTATAATTTATTCTTCTGTTTCTATGAAATAATGAGAATTAACAGCAGATATTGCAGGCTTACCACCACTACACAAATAAATTTGAGTGCTTCAAGGCAAATTTATTTCAATACAATAATAACTGAGTTTTCATTCAAATATCATCCTATAGGATCAAATTGTGACTTCAGTTGTGGTCATGCATCGTTACTGACTTAAAATATGGTTGCATGACTGTAACTTAGAATGGCTGTGTTGGCTGCTAGCCAAGGGCTAGTCCAGTGAAACTATCACAATGTTTTAAGGAGGCTTAACTACATATCTGGGATAGTCAAAGAATAAATGCACTCTATTGAATATTCTCAGTCCCTGTTGCTTGTCATGCAGATAAGGAACTTGTTTAGAATACATTCTAGGTCCAAAGCAGCCTTGCACACCTAATTTTCTTTTTTCAGAAACCACAGTTCATAATGAAAGGAGAACAGAACAGAAAAGACCTCAGCTCAGGAGCACGAAAGCAGTTCTGGCCAGACCACATGAAGTATGTTGCTCTCCCATAGCAATACCCATTTCCAAGGAACCAGTACAAAAAAAACCAACAAATAGTTCTTTGAATTCTCTTCTAGAATTGGTGGAATTAATTCTCCAAAGGACCTATTGGATTTTTTTTCAGGAATATCAGCTTACACCTGTGCTACATATTTCTGTCACATTTTGTAGAAGTAACTAAAAACAAGCAAATATGAGTATTGCCCTCTACCACAGGCAGGCTTTCTTAGCATTATTCCACTCTAATGGTAAAATCTAAGAATTTTACACACTTACCAGACATTTACTTGGATGTTCAGCAGCTACATGACTTGCAATAGCACTTGGAAAGCACTAAACAAAAAAGCATAACAAAATAAATATTTACATACTTGAAAATTACACAAATTATAATCGAGTTACAGTGATTCAGAGTTGTCACAGATCACATCCTACATTTCCTGAAAAGGTAAAATTGTATAGACTTGTTATGACAGTATTAGGAATCTATTAGTCAAATGGAGATAAAACTCATCTTAATTTAACTCACATTTAAAGAGTATCATGTATTAAACCTACACATACTGAAACACTATTATCCCCAAAACTTGACGCTTCTACATAAAAACCTAATGAACCCTACTGAACTTCATGAATTCTGAACGCTGAAAAACTTTTTATGATCTTTTCCCACTTCATGCTGAAGGAAGACCATGGAGCAGATACTCCCAGAAACTATGCT